TTGGGTTTTGTTGGTTTATTTTAATTTTAATACTTTATTTATCATATATTTTATATTTTGTAATTTTTCCTTTGATAATTTTTTGCCTTAAGAAATTTTTGTATCGAAGACATTTTTGCGAGAGAAAATTTTGCCATGAGAATTTATTCCTTTGTTATTTTTCCTTTGAGAAATTTTTACTGAGAAATTATTTTTGAGAAAATAAGACTGGGAGCCATAGTACACCCCATATATTTATATATATGGGGTGTTTTATTGAATAAATATAAAATTTTCTGAACCATACAGTTTCAATTTTTTTTTAGATATTACTTGGTATGAAATTTGTCATTTTATATCATTTTTGATAGGCCATGAAATGTTAAGTTAAAATAACATAAGGGAAAATGCGTCAAACTTGTCACATAATATTTAAATTAAGTGACGTGTTTCGTATATACTGTAGGTCGGTCAGGGTTTACAGTGGTTTAGTAATTAGCTTATTGTATCTCCCACAATAACTAATTAAAATAATCTCCCACAATAACTAATTAAAATAATAATAAAATAAATAATAATTTTAAAACACAATTTTATTCTGTACAGGGTGATCCCCTATAATGTCGCCCCCTTTTAAATTTTTTATTTTAAGTTTCTCAAAAATTTTAAAAGTGTGGTTATGTTACTGAAAAATACTTGCGTATTGAAAAAGTATAGAAAAAGTTTATCAGTATACAAGGAAAAACAAAAAGTACCTAAATATTTTTTCAATGGATCACCCTATACATAAATTTATTTTCCGATTCCTTGTAAAATTCTAACTATAATTTATTTAATATACCATATACCTAAATTCAACCAATTCTAAAATATTTAAATTATTTTTAAGGTAATAAGTTAAACTAGTTTAGTCTTTTTCTGTCTCAGTGCGGCATTTTTACTTACTTAACTATTAATATTGACATACTGTCACCATAGTTATTTATTTTTAATAAACATTTTGTTATCCTGAGGCTTCTTGATTTGTAACAGTTTAAAAAAATATAATAACGTTTTAACTGCAAATATTTCAGAAACGGTTGAATTTAGGTATATGGTATGTTATATGAACTATGCTTGGAATTTCTTTCTAAAATTTCTATATATTTTTTTTGTTATAGGAGGTATTACGAATTACATTTTGGAGCAATTAAATTAAAAGATACTATATTAAAATAAATTTGTCAAAAATAACTAATTATAAGTCATATTTGACTAATTGTCATAGCGAAAAAGCAGTCACTATTAATTCAACTGAATGAAATAGACAAATTAGTAGATTACAATTTAAAAAAGTTCTAACCCCGCCGGGGTTTGAACTCGGGTCTGTCGCTTTTCAAGCGGATGTCAAACCAATGAGCCATTAGTCACTTTTATAAAAATAGTTTTATCTGTCTATAAATATTGTGCATATTTTAAAGTTTGATATATTTTTTGTGTTGCTGTTTTGAGCTAAACTTTTTATATCTTTGTTTGTTTTTAAGGGTCATTTAACCATATGGTTAGTTAAATGCATTAAAGGCATATAGGCTCCATATGGAGCCTATATGCATTTAACTCAAGCAATAATTTGTTGTTGACCGCAAACGATTGAAGGAATTAGTTACTTTTAACTCTTAGAAATAGTCAAAGATGGTGACTTATCTTAAATTGGTCAAACTTTAACTATTTAAGTAGTTAAAAATAACTATCTATAAAATGAAAACGACTATTACGACTGGTACTAATTCAAATAGTAGAATTTCATATTTCATTTTAAGAGAGTATGTACATGTTTTTTTCTAAAACCGAGTTAACGTTGTGTTTTATAAGTACTAGACAGAGCTTGAGTAAAAGTACAAAGTACAAAAAAAATCAAAAAGTACTCAAGAGTAAAGTACAAATTACTTTTTCTAAAAACTTTTAAAATGTAATTTAAGTTCTATCTATTCTATCTATTTTAGTTCTATCTAGCAAAAAAAAATTGTTTTATCTCTTGTCTATTAGGTGTAGTTAGATATTACTTATAAATATATTTTTGTTTCGTTCTTTTAAAGATTCCATCTTATTATATATCCTTTTTCTATGATTTCTAAAAATATAGTTGAAAAAAAAACAAAATATATATTTTTACCTAATTAAATATGAAATTATAATACCTTTTCATTGATTGATTGAACTATTCCCTATACCTAAAGTTAAAAGTAACAAAGATATTTTACAATTACCCTAATAATATGAAGAAAAGCTGATAAAAGTTTGCTCATGTGTATTAATTTGGTATGAATAACAAAACTTCCCTGATATTTATTATTATAAAGGAAAATAACTACTCAAAAGAAGTTGATGCAAATATTTATTCTTAATGGATAACTAAATTGAACAAATAAATAAATAAAAGTTAAACAAATAAATAAATGTTACAACAAAATTTGACAAATTGACGACCGTTGGCTTCTAAACATTTTAGAATCCGGATTCTCGAACATTCAGTTGTGCCCCTTCTGATTTCATTAGCATCTAAATCTGCCATACAATTAATCACTCGTTGGTGGAGTTCTTGTTTCCTATGTACCGGTGTCCTGTATACCATATCATATGCTAACAAAAGCGTATACCCGCTAAACATAAATATATTTCCTAAATTAATGCGAACAAGTTAAAGGCTCTATTGAAAAATTGCGTTTTTTGACTTATCCCCTTATGCCTTTTACCCACAAACAAATGACAAATTTAATTTTGTTTTCTCTCAGAAGACAAAAAACATTAAAACTAAATTTTTATTGAATTCACATTTCCTTGACAGTGTGTGGATTGGTGTCAGCCCAAACATGTCGGTTTCTTCTGTTAAATATGCCCTCTCTGGACAATTTTGAATCGTCTGTCCAAATGATTTTGTTCAGTTGAATGTGTACCAGCATGTTTTTACAAAATTGTACCCTATTAACAAAATCATCTGGCTTCAAAGCTTTCGCAAACTTATATGGATGCATCGATCCTTTGAATGGATGCCTGACTTAAGCCTAGATCATGCCTTGCATTTCTGATGGAGGCTTGTGAATAGGCTTGGAAATAAGCGAAAACATTAATAATATTGACTTCGTCAGAAGTTACAGGATAAGGCAAATGTGGTTTAGGTCTCAGTTTTGATCCATATTTTATAAAATTATTTTTTAATCGTGCAAACTTTATTTCATTTATTGGTTGTAGATCGGGGTATATTTTGTTGAACCTTCTGCATGTTCTAGCAATAATTTTGTCACATTGTCCATGAAGAATAAACAAGTTCATCAAAACCTCATTTGAATAGTGATTTTCCTCCTTTTTAACTATTTTATTAACAATTTTTGTTAATCTAAAACATTATTTTTATTTAATTAATGAATTTTTAAGTTTTTTAGTAAATAATAATTTACCTTTTAATTAAGTTACCTGGCATTCAATCAAACTGTTTATATACATACATAGCGACATATTTACTTTTTGTTTCGGTGTTTTTATGTACAAACAACGAAAAAAATATATTGTTCTTATTAATTAATTAATTTCTTGTCATATGAATACATGCAGTTTTTAAAACTCATTCGTAGATTCCATTTGGATTGTATATTAATTTAAAATTATTATTTTAAAATTTAAAATATTAAATAATAGGAATTTTTAAAATCTCTTTTTTATTATTAACTTCAGGTATAGGGAATACTTATATCAATAAAAAGGTATTATAATTTCATATTTAATTATGTAAAAATATACAGGGCCTATGAGGCGCCGTCTGTGCCATAATTATGATTTATAAAATATATAATAATTTGTAAAAATATAAATATATTGTTTAGAATATAAATAATTTGTTTAAAATGTATATATTTGAACTTATTTTCTAAGATATATATTACTTTTACTAAAATATATTATATTTTAACTAAATAATAATATAAACTAAGCTTACAAGACGTAACGCCAGGAGGCGCTGGCAGCTTTATTTAACTTGGCAACGCAGCCTTTCTTTCATTTCATGTGAGAATTACAGTGGTGTAAATTAAATAACTTTTTGCCAAAGGGCTTTTTGTTATTTATTATATGTTTAACTGGATGTTTATTGTCGTGACTCTCTTTTTAAAACAATAATTTTTTATTCCTTAATTCTGGGCTACGCAAAACTATGTCGTCGATTTGGTTCCATTACTACGGTAAAATTTTAAATGACCTATTATTCTGTTAGATTTTAATTTAAACTTATACCCAAGTGCTTTATTACGTAGTACGTAGTACGTAATACGTACCAGAGGTATTATTATTTTTAATGTATCTTCTACTTTTATTTAATTTACACCACAGTAATTCCGACATGCAAGTACAGACAGGCTGTGTTGCCAGCGCCTCCTGGCGTTACGTTTTGTGAGCTGAGTTTATATTATTAGTATTAAAATTATATTATTAGTTGAACTGTCCAAATATATAAATATTTTAAATATATATTATTTTGTAAAAATATTATTATATTTTAGTAAAACTAATATATATGTTATAAAATAAGCTAAAATATATATATTTCAGACAAAATATTTATATTTTAAACAAAATATATATTTATTTTAGAAATTATTATATATTTTACAAATCATAATTATGGCACATTGGAAATTAAAAAGTTATTGTTGTTTTGAGTTAGTTACATTCACATTGGTTTTTTTCAAGTATTTTTTTAGAAATATGACAATAAATTACATGGAATTTTTAAAACAATGCTTTAGGATTCCAATAAATCCAACAGAATATCAATAAACGTTATATTAAAAAAGTTATAAGCTTTTTTTGTCAAGGGTGAAACTGTCCAAATTATACAAAAAAAATTAATAACTCAAAAACTATTAAGTTTAGCCATTTTATAAGCATGCTAGTAATCAAAAAATGTTGCAATAATTTGTTTCAATGAAAGGCTATTTTCAAACTTCAAACTTTATTTACTGTATTTTTTGTAATAAAATTAATTTGTCTTGATTTTTTACAGAATACAAATGGGTATTTAAAATAACATATAAAAACATATTTTTATTGTTAATTATTTTTAATATTGCTTAATAACTCTTAAATATAATATAAATAGCACTTTAGTATGTATCATACGGTGGATTTCCATATTTATTATAGAGATTTTTAAAATAATTCAAATTTTTCTCGTTGGGGTTAACAGCTATAGATAATGTTTCGTTAATGTTAAAATATTTGAGTTCCTCCTTGGTATTTCCTGAATTGGCTGGAACCCAAACTTTATTTTCAAATAATATATCTTCTTCTGGAGTAGGGTTCCTAAAAATATATTGATATATTATATTATTAAATTAATAAAACTTTCATTGTTTTATGTTACAAGACCAATAAAGTAAATAAATGCTTATTTTGTAATCCTTCATTCTTAATTACTACTTAAGTACACGATTGTCGCAATTTTTGCGATTTTTAACTGTACAAATTTTTCTTTGACTGTATCTTGGTTGTGATATTAAAGAAAATTTGATTATCTGGTGTATAAAATACACCTCGTGATTATGTAAGTATGTTTTATACAATAGTTTATTGTATTAAGAGTTCTTCCAGATGTTTCTTATGTCCACTGAAGGATTACTTACGTGACATTTGCAACATAAAGCCTGGATTTTAGGATAAAATTAATAGATTAGGGTTGTCATAATTTAAGTTCCCATTACCTTGAAATGGTACATGCTTATTACACTAAAAAAAACCTTGAGCGAGAATTAGTTTTCACAAAAATAAGTGGATACAGCATCGAAACAAGTTATATGATAATTTACCAGCTACTCCCTATTTATTGGTATCTCCTTTTTGTGTGTTTTTACGATGTTTCTTGATTCTTATGCCAAGTGGTCTTAGTGTCTCGCCAATATAGGGCTGACCAAACATAGGGGATCCGATAAATGCAGTTATTTTTGTCTTTCCGGTTTAACGTATTTCTTGAGTTAAATACAGTGTTGATGTTTTATTGTCGTCCCACTGGAGGAAAAGGAAATTTAAGGAAGCAGCGGTCATGCACCATAACTCTGAATGATTTAGTAAGCCTTCGGTGGACATAAGAAACATCTGGAAACCGTGGTTAAACAGATGTGACCTTGAAATTTAACCATGCATGGCTTAAATATAAATAGACCAGTGGCTACTTAACTTATGCAGTATTTACATAAAGACTGGAGATACTTACCAGTCGAAAGGTCGTGATTAAAAATACTACCGCAATATCAAGTGTCAAAAACTTTTATTTCATTTTATTCGTAAGTAATATCATAAGAGCATCTATTTTTTCCGAAAAAAAAATCGAAAAAACACGTTGCTAAGTAATATTTTAATAAGAAGCATGAGTGCTGGTGGCAACAAAAATCCGAGTCGAAGAGGAGGATTTTTGCTCCTGCACGAATGCTTTTTGTTAAAAAATATTACTTAGCATTGTGTTTTTTCGATTTTTTTCACAGGAAAAATTAGATGCCCGAATGGTATTTGACAAGACTATTTCATGAGTAACAGTTAACAATTAAAATATAAATTGCAATTTTTGGTGACAACAGCTGTCAAGTTTTGCCACGGGTAAACTCGAAAAAACTGCTGACAGGTGCTGTCACACAGTTTTTTCACCTAGAAACCATTTGTAATTCAAAATTGCGCGTTTGTGATTGGTGGATATTAAGACGAGGGAAATAGTCAATATAATAGTACATTATAGACCAGGCTCATATTATATAGCTCTGTGTAAATTTCACTGCCAAGGCAATACATTTTTTTTAAAGATTTTGACAAATCATTCTTGGGTAAGGTTTATCTGGCAAAATTTTTGCTTTATGTTTTTACAAAGGATTTTCGAACTAGTATTAATATGAAGTCTTTCTAAATGGAGTTTTATAATACAAAAATTATTGTAGCGATGAGTCATCGCTGGTGAGTCAGCGCTCGAACAATCGAGAGTGTGGAGCTCGCTGGAATGTTCCAGAAGACTTGGGCGCTGAATATATAAGAAACGGAGCAGCACAGAGCAGTCAGTTGAGCTTTGGTACTCGCGAAGAAATAAATAAATATAAGTGCAAATAAATAAACTAGTAGTGATATGAATAATTAGTAGTTAAGTGTTTAGTTAGTTTTATAGTGTTTTAAGTGTAAAAACGTTACAATTGGTGTCAGGTGTGGGGTTAGTGTGAAATATCGCGAAAATGGTTTCGTTAATGGACTTAAGAGTGGCGGGCCTTAAGAGGGAGCTAGAAGAAAGGGAATGTGATGCAACTGGGAAAAAGAATGTGTTGCAGCAGCGGCTTCGAGAAGCGTTGGAGCAGGAAGGTGAAAATCCAGATACGTATTTATTTGAAGACCAGTGTAATATGCATTTAATGTTGCAAAATTTAAACGAAAAAATGTTGGAGAATTCTAACAATTTGAAAGCTGATTTGAAACAGAACATGCTAGAAAATTCTAGCGATTTAAAAGTCGATTTACAACAAAAGATTCTGCAACAGAAAATGTTGGAAAATTCTAGCGAAGTACAACAGAAAATTTTAGACAATTCTAACGAGTTACAACAGAAAATGTTAGAAAATGTCAACGATTTAAAGGACGATTTGCAACAGAAAATGGTGGAAAATTCTAGCGAATTGCAACAGAAAATTCTGTAAAATTCTAAAAATTTAAAGGAATATTTGGAACAGAAGATTCTAGAAAATGCCAATGAATTAGAAGAAAATGTAGGACAGAAAGTTGACGATGTAAGGATGGAATTGAATGACGTAAGAAAGGAATTGGATATGAGAGAAGAAAAATTGAACGAGAAATTGGAGGTCAAAATTAGAGAAATAAATAGTAAACTGAAAGCTGTAAATTTACCTATGATGCTGACGGAAGCAGGAGCAGTGCCGGAGGGAAGCCGAGTACGGATGAAACCACCTCAGTTCGATGGAAAATCTTCTTGGACAAATTACATCCGTCAGTTTGAGGCAGCTGCAAAAGCAAATGGCTGGGTACCAGAGGAGAAGGCTACAGCATTAACTCTTGCTTTACGCGGAGATGCAACGGACATCTTGCAGACACTTTCTCCAAACGAACAAGAAGATTACGAAGCCTTGGTGAAACACCTGGAACTGCGATATGGCCAGACACATCTGGAACATGTCTACCATTCCCAACTAAAGAACCGCTACCAGAAATCAAACAAGACTTTGCAAGAATTCGAGGCTGATATTGCACGCTTGGTCCGGCTAGCATATCCAGCTACTCCAACGACCGTTATGGAACGATTAGCGGTTCAAGCCTTTTTGGATGGACTTCGAGACAACGAAACAAGGCAGGCTCTAACACTGGCTCGTCCGAGCCAACTGGTTGATGCATTAGCTCGAGCTTTGGAATTCGAGGCGGCAAAGCAGAGCTGCAGGAGCCAGCCTAGAATAAGGAGAGTCGAGGAAGAGAATGATTGAAGCAATCAGGCGAGTTTTTAAAGAAAACCTACCAGAGAAGAAGGAAATCCGGTGTTGGAGATGTGGAAGGCTAGGACATATTCGAAGTCGTTGCAGAGAAAGCCAGGTGGCGCTGACTTCGTCTCAGTCGGAAAACTAGATAAGGTCGAGGAAAAGGGGCTGTAACCAGCATGCCCCAGAAGATATCGAACGTGTTGCATCTCTTCTACACCAGTCCAGCAGTGTTTTTGTGGATGGTTTTATTAATGGAAAATTACATGTGCTGCTGCTGGATACAGGTGCGACGAAGACAATTATTAGGCCAGATATTGTCGAAATGTCCAAGGTCAAATCTACCAATCGGCGACTACGTACTGCAACAGGAGATATTGCTACTGTTCGTGGAGAAGTGGACATCACGATGGTCATAGGAAACACGAAATTTAAACATCGAGCATTAGTAGCAGATATTGAAGATGAAGTTATTGTAGGCATGGACATTATGAACTCTATAGGATTTGAACTGAACTTTAAGCAAGGAATATTGAGGGTAAATGGAGAGGAAGTCGTTTTGCATCGATCTAAAGAGAATAATATTCGTGTGATGCTAACAGAAGATGCTTTGATACCGGAACACAGCGAGATGATATTGAAGGCTTTCTTGGATTGTAAATCAGAAGATGGAAGTATAATGCTTCTGGAGCCGAGAATTGATGACAAAGAGGTCGGTCGAGGAATTTTAGTAGGGAAGACTTTAATACGCATCGGAAAAGAAGTGCCTGTAAGAGTATTGAATGTTAATGGTTACTCTGTGAACTTAAAGAAAGGAATCGTTTTGGGAAACTGTTCTTCAGTTTCCTCGATTATTAGAGGCATTCGTGAGTCAGGTTCCGGCCAAGAAAGTTAGCAATGAATTGATGAATCTTCTGTCGACTTCTTCAAAGGATTTGAAACCCAATGAAAGGATAAGGCTGAAAGAGCTGATTTACAATTATCAGGATGTCTTTGACGACGGACAAGGAAAGAAGGGTAGGACAAGAATTGTCCAGCATAAAATTAATACCGGTGATGCACAGCCCATTCGACAGTCGGCAAGAAGGCTTCCACTTGCCAAGCGAGAGGAAGCTGATAAAATTGTGCAAGAAATGGAGAAGGAAGGGGTGATCGAACCATCCAACAGCCCATGGTCTTCCCCAGTGGTGTTAGTTAAGAAAAAGGATGAATCAACTCGATTTTGCGTCAATTTTCGTCAGCTGAACAACGTGACGAAGAAGGACAGCTACCCTCTACCTAGGATCGATGACACCCTCGATACATTGGCTGGATCGCAGATATTTTCAACTTTGGATTTAAAGAGCGGTTATTGGCAAGTTGAAATGGCACCAGAAGATAAAGAGAAGACGGCGTTTACCGTGGGTGCAGGACTGTGGCAGTTTACTGTCATGCCGTTTGGACTATGTAATGCCCCTGCAACTTTTGAAAGGCTCATGGAAATGGTTTTGAAGGGACTATCCTGGAAGACATGCTTGGTGTACCTTAACGACATAATTGTGGTTGGAAAATCATTTGAGGTCCATATGAAGAACCTGAAGGAAGTCTTTCAGCGCTTAAGAAGTTCCGGCCTGAAGCTAAGCCCGAAGAAATGTCACTTGTTCCAGAGGGAAGTGCAGTATTTGGGCCATGTTGTTTCGAGTCAAGGAGTGGCAGTGGACAAACAGAAGGTGAAGACGGTGCGGGAATGGCCAATACCGAAGAACAAACATGACTTAAGAAGCTTTCTTGGATTATGCACCTACTACCGTCGGTACGTACCAGGATTCGCAAAGGTTGCTAAGCCTTTGACACGTTTAACAGAGGGAGAAAGAC